CCCTTGCCACTTAGTCTAATTCTAACTATCCATTAGTTTCTCTTAACAATCCTTTAAGATGTACAACTTTAATGACATCTTGACTCTAATAGACATTAGGACTTACAACTTATATTTTCGCGTTTAGAAGATTAGGAGTGTTACATCTTATAACATTTCTTAAATTATTATAAATATATATCTTATAATATCTTTTAAAATACTAAAAATATATGTTTTATTTATATCTTTTAAAATATTATAAATATTTTATAATATCTTTTTATATTAATTTATATGATCTCTAAATTAATATAAAATATTTTAACATTAATAAATAGATTAATAAACTGAACCGATCGAATCTGATATTCATAAATTATTTGAATCAGATTATTTTTTGACTTTCTGATTTTTAACAATCTCAAATTATATTTTATTTTCTTCATCAACAAAAATTTTAAAACAGATTAACAGTGAAGTTATTGTAATCGTGCGGCTGATAATGAATTGATTTGATTCTAAGAATCAATTGACTTTAGTAACCAAAAATTATGTGATTGGTGCTTTAAGTTTGTTTTATTGGAGACCGTAAAAACAACTTAGTGCTCGATGGTAGTTAGTTTTTCAAGCATTAAATCAGCTAGTAGTAGTGCTCAATGATTGCCAATTTTCTCCTATACCTATGGATATTTGAATGCTTTAAGTGCCTGGATACGTTACTAGTTCATTTTCATATCTATCCATTTTCTAATTGATTTTATTGATGGTTTTTTTTTTTATATTTATTTTTAATTAATTAAATACTATTTTTTTAATTTAATATCAACCGTTAGAATACTTAATTTCCATGTGGCATTTATCTAAGGAGTGGATTGGAAAACTGGATTGATAAAAAAGTATATCTTGACTCCCCGCCCCGGTTTCCATGCGTTTGTTTTCAGAATTAGTTAGTATAAATTTGTTCTATAAAAAATATTATGTTAATGACTATTTTTTAAATAGTTGGAATACAAATATTAAAAAGAAATTAAAACTATAGTAAGAAAACATTGAGCACCATTCACCAATAAATATGGAGAAAAGAGATTTGAGTAACAAAGAAAAGAAAGAAAAAGAAGATGCAATTTTGTGTTTTTTCAATAACTTTTGTGTGGTAAAACTTTATTTATCTTGTAATAGTTGTTGACTTTGAGCATCTTGACCGAGCTTACAAATATTTTATTTTGATAGTATTATATAGTGTTTTTGTAAGGGTGAATGTTTTTAAGACCAGATAATGTGTCGATTATATGAGTCTATTTTAGATATTAATATGTATTATGTTTTATTTATTTCATTTAGATATTCTCATCTAGGCATTCTTCTAGGTTATATGCGAAGGATTGTGCTTCGATGGTTCACAATGTCATATGGACACAATCTACGTAGATCATAGACTGAATCGAGAGTTTGATGATATTGTATGTTTTTGTAAGGGTGAATGTTTTTAAGACCAGATAATGTGTCGATTATATGAGTCTATTTTAGATATTAATATGTATTATGTTTTATTTATTTCATTTAGATATTCTCATCTAGGCATTCTTCTAGGTTATATGCGAAGGATTGTGCTTTGATGGTTCACAATGTCATAGGACACAATCTACGTAGATCATAGACTGAATCGAGAGTTTGATGATATTGTATGTTTTTTTGAATTATTTGTAATGGAAGAGTTATGTGGCTAGATATTTATCTAAGAAGTGCTTACTTCAATTTGTATATGTTCAGGATATTCATATACTAGTCTCAATTGTGTCATCTAAGAGCATTGTAAATGATTTAATTCTAATATTATAAGCAATTCCAAATTTTTATATGACCTATTGAATTTTTTGCGACTGAGATAAAACTTGACAAATTTTTGTTACTAAATATTATTATTATTATAAAAAATATGTGTGAGTTGTAAGTGTTGAGAAATAAGTGTATGGGGAATTCCACATTCATTAAAAAAGTGGAGACTTAACATTTATAAGTGAGAGAATCCACACATATATTATCTTAAAGTTTTAAGTGAGTATGTGATACGTCTCTCACAAAATATGTTACTCATATAGAAATACCACAATAGTGGTATTAGAGTCCAGTTCGAGTGTAGGATTGATTCACTTGTATGGAAAGTACTCCCCACATAGTGGTGGGTAGGTGGTGTACGTGGATAAAGAGCTTTTGCTTGAGGGGAGCATTAAAGAGACTCGCACTTGAGATATAGTGTTGAGAATAATAAGTATGAGTTGTAAGTGTTGAAAAATAATGTGAGAAAATGTCACATTGATTAGAAAAACATAGACTTGAATATTATAATTGAAAGAATTCGCACATCATCTATCATGTTACAATTTTAAATAAATATATTATGTGTCTCTAAAATATTACATTACTCGTAAAGAAATATCCCAATATAAAAATGTTCTCACATATTAACCCTAAAAAATCAATTACCCGAAATATCCTAATATAAAAATGTTCCCACCTGTTAACCCCAAAGAATTGATTAGCCAACCATGTGGGCTGGACACAAATTTTGAGGCCTATACAAATTGAGTTATATCTCTGTGTAAAAAGACTATTAAAACCCCAAGTTTTACTTATAAAACTCTTACAACGTTCGCAGGTTTTCATTTGGAAGTTAATATTTTTCACACATTTATCATCTGAAAATAAATTTTCGAATATGTTTCTCCATTAGAAACAACTATTTCAAAAACTCTAGATATGTAGCAACAACTGATACTAGTTTGCTTAAAAAAAGAAGAAATAACTTTATCATCTAAGGATGAGTTTTTAGCTAATGTTAAAAACTATAATAAATGTGAGCATATGATCGTGTATGGTGTAAGGTGTATGGAAAGACATGGATCACAATTGATGAAAGTATAAGTAATAGGGTTGGTGTCAAGTTTCATCAATATAATGTATATATACCAAATTAAATGAAATTGCAGGGGGGTCTGTCATGAAATATACTAGTAGCAATAATTTTGTCATGGTAATCTGTGATATAATAATTTAAATTATCATGATAGTCACTATCAACACCTGAAAGGGTGAAGACCATGATGGAAAATTCATACTGTTGCTGCTTTGTTTGACCAAAAACAGAGAGAAACATAGCAGGAAAGTGTGTACATTTTATAACACTACTTTCCTTATTTATTTCACCATTCACCAAAGGAGAGAACTCACCGTGCACCTCCTTCTCACCAATTATGACTACGACATGTCACATCATGTTTGCCAAAGAAAATAAAGTGAAAATGTAATCTAGTTGTTTCATTCATTCATATCTATTTATGATTTCATGCCTACTACTTTCTTCTAATAATAGGTATTTTATTTGAATTCTGCTGTGCGATTTTTAAGAAAATAATTAAATATGTTGATTTTAATGATAAATTTAGCATTATTTATTAAAACATCTTATTTATTATAGTTAATATAATAATTGAAAATCATGAAAGTTATTTTATTTATTTTAAAATGAGTGTCGTTTTAAAGAAAAAAATTATTTTAAAATAAATGTCATTTTCACTTTTCAATGTAATAATAATAGCTATTTTTTCAATTATGTGCTATAATTATTACGGGTGTTCAAAACCAAACCGGCCCAATTAAAAAACCGTAAAACCGAACCGAACTAAACCGAAACCGTAAAAAAACCACATTTGGTTTGGATGTGTTTGGGTCATTTTCTCGTGGAACCGCATGGTTCG